TTCCTTTTTAATAAAGTCGCATTGGAAGCTTGTGTGGGGCTCTTTTGCCGAAAATTTTAAGACAACCTCTTTTGGTTTATTTCACTGAAGGCTGTTAAAGTGCATGATAGTTTGTGTCAGTGGGGGTACATCAAGTGCCCCGTTTGCGCCAGTTGACCCCGTAGGGAAACAATTAATCATTGTTTCCTGTATTTTAATCGAGTTAAACTAGTCTGGTCTTTTTTTCTTCCCCTTCTTACCTTCTTTATGGCTCCCCCCGTGTTTTCATAAATAATGTGCCTTCTGTTTTTTTCTTTGAGTTTATGACTCCCTCTTCGAACTATAAAGATGTCCTTATCATTTAGTGCAAACAATAGTTTATGCAATTTGGAAATTTAGGAATCGGGCTACCTTCTATAATGGTCACAATGATCACCGAGCGATCATTAAGTATGTTTTACAAGAAGCTAAGTTCCGTATTCATTGTGATTTTGTGTCTCTGTCTCGTACCTTGTTTTATTCCAGATGGGTTTTACCTGGCCTGGGGAAAGAAATCCGGAAAAGAACGAAAAAGAACCGCAGTCTGGTCCTGGAAACAATGCACAGACAAGAAAGCCTGTAACCGTAATAGCAGGAGATTCAATCATCCAAAACATCCGTGGTTGGAGCCTTTCTAAAACCAACAAGGTGGTCGTAAACCCATTTCCTGGTGCAACAACTTAGGACATGGAAGACTTTATCAAACCCATCCTAAGAAAAGATCCTGAGAATATTATAATCCATGTTGGAACCAACGACGTAAACTCCAAAGATCAAGTGTAGTATCTGTTCTTATCGGTCACATTTTCGGTGTCTCTACCAAAAACGTGAATATTCCCTCCGTTAGTGCTTGGATTGCTTTCGTATTGGTCTGACCCCAAGCCCGTGCAACCTTCACGCACACAAAAACTGTCCGTCTTATCATGGAGGAGGAGATGGAGTTAACCGCGATCGAAATTGTTCGGTCTTTACCTGAGTTCCAGGAGGAAATCACGGGCATTGTCCCCAATTTTGGGGGGCAAATGTTTCGATATAACATTACGCACAACCGACCCTGCCTCACGCTTGGCCACGTCTGGCTTTGATTATGGAGCTGAAAGGAAACCCCTAAAATTACTTGGGGCGAAAACTATCCACGTCTCGGTGTTCGTCACCGTGGAATTTCCCGATCAAGAGATTGTCAAATCTTTAAAATAGTATGGACGGCTGAAGTCCGAACATCTTCGGCGCCTCTGCTACACCGAAGAGGGGTTCACTTCTATTGAGCGCGGTATCCGCGTCGCAGAATTTATATCAGTCGCGAAGGATCTGCCTTGGAAGGTCGTCACCCAAGGCTTGGAAATATTTTTTAAATACACCAGTCAGCCGATCACTTGTTACCGCTGCGGATCGGCCGACCACGTAGTTAAAAACTGTCCGAAACAACGCTCGCGTTTCGGGCACCTTTGCGTGGAAGATCGGGTTTTGCCTGGCCCGCCGAACCCCCCGGACACCAACGAGGCTCAAATGGAAAGTGAAACCATTACTCCCAGCACTCAGGACTCTGAGGATGAAGACCGTACACCGAGCGAGACTCTTTCTTCAACGCCCGCGCTGTATTCCGGAGTTGTATCGCGCAATCTCTTCTCAGAGCCAAGCGAGACCTCGCGTAAAAGGCCACCACCCTCCCCCGAAAAGTCAGGAAACCCGGAGCCTAAAAAGGCCGCAGCTTCAAACGGCAAACCAGCAACAGCCGCGAAACCCCGACGCGAGACACCAGCTATCAAGTTGTTAAAGAAGGCGCTTCACCAAACAGGTCCGGAGAGAACAAAACTTATGCACACAGTTTCCCACACAGGGAAACAATTGACCATTGTTTCCTGCACTGTAATCCAGTTAAATTAGTCTGGTCTTTTTTCTTCCCCCCCTTACCTCCTTTATGACCCCCCCTGGTGTTTTCGTGAGTAACATGCCTTCTGTTTTCTTTTTAGAGTTTACGACTCCTTCTTTGAAACATAAGGATGTCCTTATTTATTTAATTCACACAATTGTTTATGTAATTTGGAAATTTCGGAATTGAGCCACTTTCTACAGGAGGACACGATGACCACCAAGCGATTATTAAGTACGTTTTACAGGATGTTAAGTTTCGTCTTCGTTGTGATCTCGTGTCTATGTCCTTATTTTTAAAAAAGTGACAACCAATGAACACCGAGTTTTTTTCTGTCCTAGATAGCATTCACAAACCTGTATAATCCATATTCTGCTGCAGACAAGTGCACCATGTTCAGTGACCGAAATTTGGTCAATAGAAGGAATGTGAAAGGGGATGTGACAGCAGCTGCTAATCCCTGTAGGAGATTTTTTCAACTGGAAAGGGAAACAAGAATTATTGCTGCTGCCTTAAAAATCCTGGGTTCAAATAGTCTGGATCCCAAGGAGAAACCAACCAAAAATGTTTTTCCGAATCAAGAAAACGCCTCTACCAAACAGGAGAAAAAACATTAACTCCGTAAAATAGCTACCCTTGTTGTTGACGCGTTTGTTATTGACCAAGAAAGGAACAGGAAAATCATCCAGTCAGTGCAGTTGTTGGAACATGAGTGGCAGGCTAAGGAGCAGGAAATTGATGCTGAAGGAAGATACCCATGCCGATCACCTGGTTGTACCAAAACATTTGCTCATGATGGAAAATTAAGAGGAGATCATGGAGCAAGGCACAATCCCCCGTAGTGATTCATGGCCCTTCTGCCAACCTTCTTACTATTGACTCTGACACAAGTGAGGACAAGAGAGATGACACGTTTGCTTACCAAAAAGCTCTTTTGGACTATGGTATACTCATCTTTAATTTCTGAGATGCTATTTCAGAAGGGGATGGGGGATGCATCCTTCGTTGCTGAAAATTTTTCCTTATGTACCTGAAACATCAGGGTGGGTCAGCTACAAAGTACTCCTTAGAGGCTTTGTATCTGATGTTCCAGGTTTATGCATTGCTGAGCCCACAGGCAGCCCATCGCTTCGTTTGGGAACGCGTTGTAAAAACAAAGTATGGAAGGTGCAACATTCCCTTAGATTTGCTTCTGGAGTTCTTCAACAAATCAATTAAAGAGGCTGTCAAAAAGCTCGGCCCAAGTGCTACCCAGAAGTCATTGGACAGGATTTGTAACTCTTTGGATGTGACAACAGCAATGATGAAATTGTTCGATTCCAACCTCTCAGAAGATCACGAAAGCACATCCAGAGATCAACAAAGAATGACACTGAAAAGCTTGTGAATGAATTAGTCTTGAACAAAGCTTTCATTTATACACCAGGGGGGAGGAAGTTCACTTCCTATGCAAAGATGAAGCCCAGTATACTGTGTGGTTTTAACTTGCAGAAAATGTTTACATGGATAAATGAGCATAAGAAACACATGATTCTGTATAGAAGGGCACGTTGAGATTGCCAAAAAATTGATATAAACTCAGTTTCTTTTATGTCAGGAGAAATGAGAAGCCAGTTATCTGATGCCTAGTCCTCAATATAGCAAGTTTAGTAACTGATGATAGAAATAGTGTAAAAATAATACCCCTGCACAGCCATTTGGGCATATTAGGGAAATTGGGGGAATTAGGGCTATTTTCAAACATTCATCACAAAATGAGATTTCAGATTTCCCTTCCTTCTTATAAAGCTAATAAATATCTTACTGCCGTTTCCTTTACCCTACCCCTAGTTTCAATGTTGTAGAGTTCATGCAGTTTTCTGAAAGGAAGCTCCACTCGAGCTTAAGACCTTTTATAATATACATTGCGCAAAGTGTTAATTCTGAAATACAATATCCAATATTGTTATGAGAGAGGGGCTATTTTTGCCCTTGTGGAGGACAGGGAGATCTGTTGTTGCTGTTTGTAAAGTGGGCATGTTTTCCATACTTGATTTTTGGGAAACGATACACAAGCCACGGCAGAACTGTTTGAAAAATGTTTTTGTACTAAATGCTAAAGCAAACTGTAAAATGTTGTTACTTTTGCAGCTGTTTAAATAATGATCAGATTATGGTGTTCATGTAATTCTTGCATGGAGCCCTTTAATTATGAAAAGAAAAAACTGCTTTTATTTCACAAGTTTTAAAAGAAATTTTAATATCCAGAACTTACATTGAGGACTGTTAGCTTATACTTTCCTTAATGAATGAGTACCAACTCAGTATTCATGTATATAGCTCAACCCTTTCACTTTTGAAGTGGCCAAAGGTAAAAAAAATAGAATATTTCCAAATTTTAACAGTAGTGTACAAAAGCTCTCCCAAAGAGGTCTTATGACTGATGACATAATAGCATTTTGTACTCAGATTCAAATGTTAAAGAGACGAGTATTCTCACCATAACTTATTCAAGGAGTGAAAGGGTTTAGTACACTCAAAACAACACAACAATGTTTAAATAAGTACAATAAAGTCAATTGCTGAACAGTGTGTTTACCAAAGCTGTCAGTCACCAGTGTTACCCAAACTTACATTCCTTAAAGAGTTACAAGTGTCATTGTCAGTGTCCATGAAATAACTCCTGTCCTCCAAGTCCTGGCTATCTAGCATGCTGACAAGGGCAGAATCATCTCTGATCTCACCCCAGTCAGATGCAATAGAATCTTCAAAAAAATCATCCTCTTGTAAAAGCTGTGATCTTGACAACACCTCTAGCATAGTGATGTCACCATATTTCAACGGACGTGAGAACATTATCCACAGAGAATAACTTCTCACAACATTCAATGACCTGGTTGACATGAAAAGCATTGAATTCCAGAAGATAGGTTAGACATGTAACCATTTTGTCTGCTTGAGCATGCTTTGCCATTTCGCGTTGGAATTCGAGAAGCTTCTTCCTTAAAGTGTCTCTGTCTTGTGTTACAGTCCGCACAATTTCAAGGCTGTCACAGTCACTAGTAGGACCTGTCGAGAGCTTAGGCAGACTAGGGCTGTCTTAACAGGGGCTCCAAAACTCACCACAGTTCTCACTATCACATTTGCATCCACCAGCACAAATATTGCAACAGTCATGAGACTTTACATTTGGGTCTGAACTCCCAGAACTTTCTTAGGAACCAAACTTTTCCATTATCCACCTTCTGCGGCACTCTTCAATTTGTAGATACTGCTTCATGTCAGCATCACAGTGACTACTCAGCAGACCGTTGTACAGTGGTACACTTGAACTAGGGAGGCCATCTCTGCCAGCTCTTCCACACTCTTGTACATACAATTCCACTGATTTTGATGGGCCAAAATGGATCACCCGTCTTACTTTTTTACAATTGATCCCCATGCCAAAAGCAACAGTGCATATCAAAACATGCACATTTCCCTCATCNTTGTCTGCTTGAGCATGCTTTGCCATTTCGCGTTGGAATTCGAGAAGCTTCTTCCTTAAAGTGTCTCTGTCTTGTGTTACAGTCCGCACAATTTCAAGGCTGTCACAGTCACTAGTAGGACCTGTCGAGAGCTTAGGCAGACTAGGGCTGTCTTAACAGGGGCTCCAAAACTCACCACAGTTCTCACTATCACATTTGCATCCACCAGCACAAATATTGCAACAGTCATGAGACTTTACATTTGGGTCTGAACTCCCAGAACTTTCTTAGGAACCAAACTTTTCCATTATCCACCTTCTGCGGCACTCTTCAATTTGTAGATACTGCTTCATGTCAGCATCACAGTGACTACTCAGCAGACCGTTGTACAGTGGTACACTTGAACTAGGGAGGCCATCTCTGCCAGCTCTTCCACACTCTTGTACATACAATTCCACTGATTTTGATGGGCCAAAATGGATCACCCGTCTTACTTTTTTACAATTGATCCCCATGCCAAAAGCAACAGTGCATATCAAAACATGCACATTTCCCTCATCCAAAGCCATAGATTTTCAAATGTGATCTTTTGCAGAAGCAGGGGTAGCGGCATGATACATTTTAACGATTCAATTTTGGGGCAAGGTACTTGTGTGATACAGGTGCTTTCCCAGGTATACCTCAAACACACGGAAGATCACAGAACATTGTTTTCATGTCTAGATCCTTTGTCTTCCAGGCCGTCTGCTTTTTATCGTAATTGTTTATCTCTGTTATCTGCCCTGCGTAGTAGACATGGCTCTTTACTGGATGATTTTTCTTGCAAAAATTTGTACAATCTCCTTCTAGAGCTTCCAAGCGCCTCTCCGCATTCCTCGAGTTTCTGGGCCACTTCACTTAAGAGGCCAATTAACCGGTGGACCACGGTTTGGTACAAGTCTCATCTTAAGTTAATTGAGAATAAGAAAACTGAATTACTTTGGCTCATAATTCACCGCGCGATTAAAGTTCCATATGTCTTTTTTCCCTTACTGTACTTACGCCTTTATTGTATATAGCCTCTTTTAATTTTAGTTCGCTGTTTTTTGTACATAGCCATCTTAAATTGGCATCGCCTATGCTGGAAGCTTTGTACATAGCCGCTCTAGTCTACTCAAGTGAACCATTTGTTTTACCTTAATTTATGCTAATTTAATTTCCATTAGTTCCCGGAAGCCTTGTAAATAGCTAATATTAATTTAGTTCCACTATTTTCGGAAACTCTTGTTCTTGTTAATAAGGTTGAGTAGGCTGTTCAATAAAACACCCCTGCGGGGGTTTTCATATTTTATAAAGAAAAATCTTTTCTTGTCAGTCACGTTTTCAGTGTCTCCGCCAAAAACGTGAACAGTTCCTTTCCCCGCACCTGGATCGCCTTGCTTTTGGACTTTTTCGCCTCGTTTCACTGTGAAGATTCTGTTTGCAAGTTTCGCATGATGGCTGCGCGACCCCACACAACCTTTGCGCACACAAAAACTGTGCAACTGATTGTCGAAGAAGGTATGGATGTGAACACAATCGAAACTGGGCGGTCCCTTCCCGATTTCAAGGAGGAAATCACTGGCATTGTCCCCAATTTCGGGGGCAAATGCTTTGACATAATGCTATGCTTTACCGATACTGCAACCCACTTGGCCACCTCTGACTTCGACTATGGGGCTGAAAGAAAGGGGGTTAAAATTAATTGGTGCAAGAACCATCCACCTTTTGGTGTTTGTCGCTGTGGAATACCCCGACCAAGACACTGGAAACTGTCTAAAGCAGTATGGACAGTTAAAGTCCGACAATCTACCCTGCCTCTGTTATACCTAGGAGGGTGTTATGTCTATCAAGCGTGGTATCCGCATCACAGAATTTATGTCACTAGGCAGAGATCTACCCACGAAAGTTGTGACCCAAGCCGATTACATGCTATTGCTGTGGATCCATGCGAGAAAATGTCACTCGACTCCTCTTTAAAAAAGGGGATAAGAAACTCCTAAAAAAATGGCGACCTATTTCCTTGCTCAATGTTGATTACAAAATCTGTTCGAAATTGATCGCTAATCGACTGGCCAAAGTGTTGTCATCAATTATTAATGAAGACCAAACTTGTTCACTGCCCGGTACGACTATTTTTGAGAACTTAGCTATGTTTCGGGATATTTTAGACCACGTAAACATTACCAATGAGACCGGTATCCTTGTAAGTCTGGATCAAGAGAAAGCTTTTGATCGTGTTGATCATACCTTTCTATGTCGCACTTTAGAATGCTTCAGCTTTGGTCCCAGTTTTTTTGCGGTGGATTTCCACCCTATACCATGGCGCGTCCATGAAAATTATAGTCAATGGCTTTTTAACAGAGAAACTTTTTCTGAAGAGAGGAGTGAGACAGGGTGACTCGCTGTCCCCTCTTCTCTATGTTATATGTGTTATATTCGTAACCACAGTGGTATTCAAGGCTTTTTCCTTCCTGGTGCTAATAGTTATTTCAAGATAAGACAATATGCAGACGATTCTACTTGCTTTGCTAACCCATTCGCCCCTGAACTGCCCATAACCGCCCATGTACGACAACCCCCGAATTCCCTGAACCGCGCGTAAAAATGGCTGCTGGATTCAGTCCATTTCCCTTACCTCCAGGGTGTTTTTTTGTCTTTTGTTTTCAGAGTGATTGATGGATAATAAACCAATCATTTGCCATCTTTTGCGCATTTTTTGACAGATGATGAGAAGCACCACAGGGTCGGGTTTTTCGATGAGCATGAGTAAAAGAAATTCGCAAGACTAATGGCCGCCCATATCGAATTCGAATCAAAGTTCGCATCACGTTTGAGAGAATATAGAGATAATTCGACTCTTGATCACTTCAGGTTGTTGAACAGACCTTGTGAAAAACCTTGTGATTGAGAGTTAAACGATCTTAAGACTGAAAAAGACAATCCTAGCCCTCAAATTGCCGAGCGCTTCGTAGGCAAACAAACCGCATGGACTATCAATGAAAACTTACCTCTTTCATTTCATTTACTTGCATCCAAGTACCGTGTTCCTCACAGCAAATGTTTTAAATGTAACTGTTTCTTGAACTGCTGGAGGTGATGCTTTTGTGGAGTTAAAAGTTTGAACAAGGAAACGGATTATGTGCGATGATCGATTTGGATTGACAATCCCAATGAAAAAAATTTTCTTCACGTCGCGCAGAAGCTCACGGAGAATAAATGGTAACCGTCTTTTTATTCAATTATTTACAGTTGCCAAATGATGCTTTTTGTGTGCTTATTTTCTTTGTGTATAACTATTAACACCTATCGATCTCCGCATTGGTAGATAAAGCATTAATAAAGCAAGTTTGGCATTTAACTTATTTGTGCTTTACTTTGTTGATCGGACATGATCGGGGAGGCACTTCAGTTCAGGATATCAAATACGCTTCCCTGAAAGATTGCGGCTTTGCCACCTTCTCTGGCGAATGCGATCATTTATTTTATTGTTGAAATTCAAGAATCGAAAAATATATGAAAGAGTGGGAAGCTGAAAACCAGCATTCCCTTGTTTTATTAAACTTTCCCATGCTTGATGATGAGGAACTCTTCAGATCACTCTTCGTGAAGTGATCATCACCGAAGTTTCACTACATTTTTCTATGGTGCTGCTCGACTGGACTGATCTGAAAGAGAACTTAATGAAACAACTTTCAGTAAAATGACTTTACAGTCTTGTTGATGTTTAATGGACTGTGTTTATTTCTTTAACAGCATTTTTGTTCCCCTTTCACCACTGATTTATCAGTGCAATTATTGCGTGGCGAAGAAATTTTGTTCAAATTGGCTCATTTTGACTTTACAGAATAAAAATTTGAGGCATTTCTTGCACAATTATACTCTTAAATTTCTGCACTGATCCCAGCTGATATCATGATAATATTGTCATATGCTTGACTGTCTTTGATCTGTAAAGAAACGATGAGATAAAATTTAAATGTATTTGTGAGTGACACCACCTTGAAATTCCAACCTTAGCAACATACAAACACTGAGATGTTGAGAAGGCAAATTGAACTTCAGTTTCCCGGTTACTTTTTGCAATCCAGAAAAATAAAAATGAGGTGGGGGGGAGGCTCCTTCAAGAAGGGGTGCAGCTGCATCTTTTTATGCAGTCGACTCCCTTCAATGGAAAGAGAAGAAAGTTTGAGGTATCAAATTACTGGGAGGCAGAAGCAATTAACCGGATGTAAGGATAAAATTACAGTAGTTTTAACTGTACAGTAAACATTTTAATCACATTTTAAATTTTTTTGTAGGTGAAATTGAGAGATACTTCAAGAGTATAAATCAAAACATTACATAACAAAACAGCCTAAATAGAGCACTTGTTTTACTGTTTTGAGAAGTAAGGCTGTTTCACATTAAATTTGTGACAAAAAATGCCAGCATTTACTTGTAAGCTATATGCCTACAACACGTCAAAGGGAAAATAAAAATTGAATGTTTCTGGACACAAGTACACTGTTTTCTTCCTGTTGTTATAAGCGCTAAAAACAGGCTTATCAAGTTATCGAGGGTAAAATTACGGCAAATGTATGAAGGAAATCCAGTGGAAATTGATTTTGGTTCCAATTAGTGAGGATTCAAGTTACTGGGAGTCAACTGTACATAATTTAATTTTGCAATATGCATGGAATATTCTTAAACCACAACAAACTTTATGGTTTACATTCTAATATATGATTATACATTACAATATCAAATAACTATATTTCATTTTAAAATCGTTGACTATACAATGCCAACAACATTTTTTTGAACTCATTTTAGAATGTTAATTCTGGTGTACCACAGACAAGACGTAGTTACTAAAACATGGAACGACCTAAAACCACCTAGAACCACCTCAAAAAAATCAACAACCACCTACAACCATCTACAACCACCTCAAAAACATCTACAACCACTCGCAAACAATCTAAAACCATCTAAAACAAGACGCTATGGAAGCGTATATTTGGGGGTGGTCGTACTACGGGTACGATACTTTGAACATGTCTTATTGCAGCTAAAGAACTGTCATCATATCTTACCAGAGAAGACAAATCCTTAACTCCACTTGTTTGCTGAACCACAGAGCTTATACAGTATGTCCCAATCCACAACAAAAATAGTGTCATTTCAAGACAATGTTTGAAAATATGCACATCTTCAATGCAGACATGCTTGAGCCAAATTGCAACATAGGACATAAGTGGTTACAGCCCGGAGAGTATTGTTTATCTCAGCTCCACTGAGACTGACAGATGTGTTTTCACACCCATCACATTGTACAGTGCATTCCAGTTACTAACAAGGGCAAATAAAGTTTGTGAAATCCAGTATCCACAAGGATTAATAAGAGAGTAACACATTGCATAAACTGCTATAGTGCAGCACTGTTTAAGTTTCCCTATATATATCCACATTCCTATGTAGAGTCTGAAAATATTGTACTAATTTATGCATGGATGGTATTTCCAACTATACACGTCCCTTCACTATGACTGTTATGATACATATCTCT